GGTTTGTTAATTTTACTGATTCTTTCGAGGAACTAAATTTTCATTTCATGGATTTTCACACTTGTTTTTATTTCTATTCTGTACTGTTTTTATTTTATTCTATTTCAGCTCTAATCTTTATTTTTTTTTCCTTCCTTCTAATTTGGGTTTAGCCTGTTCTTTTTTGAGCGTCTTAAGATAAAAGGTTAGTTTTTGATTTGAGGTCTTTCTTCTTTTTCAATATAGGCGTTTATAGCTATAAATTTCCCTCGAAGCACCACTTTAGCTGCATGAATGTATTTTTAAAGCCCTGCAGAGAATCCTGATGTTCACTCTTGGGAGAATACGCTGTACTTCTTTGCCACTGTAAGACTTTTGTTTGTCTGTTTGCCATTTCTCAGCATGACTGCTGACGTTTTGAGTAGACAAAGCTTTTCTTACAAAGCAAAATGCCTTGGTTGGGTTTGGTTGTATTCACAGAGAGACTGTTGCTTGCAGCTCAAAGATTCCTTTCACAGAATAATCTAAAAAGCAGGGGCACAGTTGTTTTACTGGGTCTTCTCTGTGACGTGAAGACCTTCTAGGTTGTATGGGCCTTCTTAAAGGGACCTCTCGGCTGGAAGTTTCCTTGTCTGCCCGTATTTCTACTAAGCATATTTTTGGCAGTCCTGACACAATGTTTATGTCCTTTCAGCAGAAGTCAGCTAAGAGTGAAAGCTTCCTGTGCTGCCATAAGCCCTTCTCCTTGGCCTGGGCACTTTCTACTTTGCCTTGCTTTGTCCATAATCTGGCAGCATTATCACCCACTCCACGTGACAAGTGACATCATTGCTATAATGAGAATCCCAAGCAGCACCACTGGATCAAAGCCCATCTGTGTGCCTGCTCCCACACTTGACAAAACAAATTCCAAATTCATTCAGCATGCCGGTGCCATTTAGTCAGTGTGACATATCCCAAATTTTGGACTCTGTGCAAAAACCAATCTGTGCCCACAAAATTAATCATGGAACACATTTTATGACGTTTGACAACAACTTAAAAGGTTCTTGTCTCTGGCAGGTGGCTCTGCCAATCTGCAAGTATGTGCACGGCAAATTCTGAACAATATACTGTGTGGCTGAAAATATACCACGCGGGATGCATACCCTGGAGAGAACCAGAGTGAGTCCAACCAACTCTGAAGTCTGTCTCAGGGACAGAGAAGCCAGACTGCTGTCCTGCGAAGGAAGGAGGATGGTCCCAGGTACACAGAGAAAGCCAAAGAAAAGGCAACAGCTCGTGTGCCAGTAGATGCTGAGAACATTGGCACAATCGCCTGTGTTGGCAGGACCAAGAGTTTGAGATGGCTAATTTAAGCGACAAGATCCTGGCAAACAGATTTATTTAGGGCAAGGGTGCGTCAGGAAGATGCCAAAAAAATGTATCAATCTGTGCCTTTACATGCACTGTAGAGTGATGATGAAACAACTGACATTAAAAAAGTAAACCCTATGCTCTAATATAATCTGCAACTCATCCTAACAGAAAGTAGAGTTTACTTTAGCTCTCTGGTACCCCAAGATGGGGTTTTGTGTTCTGATCTGTGATCTGTGAGCAAGAAAACTTCCTTTCAAAAGGCATTCCTGAAGAGATTTCCCCATATTGTTCTGTTTGATTAGACGAAATGTTTTTATATATTGTTTAATTTGACAGTATCATGCACTTCAAATAAAAGAAGCCATTTATCTAAGATTTTACTTTTCCGAGGAGTATATTATGGAAACTCTGTTGGATAAAGAAAGAAAACTGAGACTTTGTACTGATGGAAGCCTGAATGGATCCCTTTACTTAAGAGCAATGTTTTACTCTGCACTAAGACGTGGCTGTTTTGAGTATCTGTCCTACACCGTCGTGCCCATTTGTGCATGGCTCAACCAGCAGTGACACAGTGAAACTCCCCACATGGAGTGTTTTGTTTCCTCATATTACTTTCCATTTCCTTCCTTCTCTAGACAGTCTTTTACCCCCAATTTTCCCCACACATCCCCATTTTCTCTTAATTGATACCGTCCTAGTACCTTGTATTTGCAATGGGTTAAGAAAGTTTTCATGCCCTGGCTGCCTAGTTGGGATTTTAATTTTTTCTATAAAGACTAAATTTGCATAATTTAGCTTTTGCTGGGATTTCTCTAGACCCAGACCTCCTCTTCTCACTTGAGTGTTCCTCTTCCTCTCCGAGGCAGGAAGGACCATGAGGAAGCAACAGGTGAAGCGGAGCTCTTGCACAGGGAGGGCAGTCCTTGATTCGGAAGCCTGGTGACTGAACATCCCGGCAGGGGCCTACACCCAAAAGCGGCTCAGCCTCATGCTGCTCACAGCGGCCTCCTCTGAGACCTTGGACAGTGACCCCTCTGTGACGAGGAGGAGCGGGACTCTCTCGGTCTCTCCCAACTCTAATGCTCGAGGATTTATAATCAGGGAGGGACACTTTAGGGAATCTCTCCTTATACAGTAGCTGATTCTTTTATGTATTTTGTACGTTGAGTACAAATGGGTTGTTGTTAATTAAATCATATTTTCCTCACTCAGAAGTAGCTCCTAAAACTTTTTCCTTCCTTACCCATGCTTCAAATAATTAATGGTCTGTAACTGTTCTGATTCCCAGTCCTTAGAATTGGCTTTCTATTCTTTTTAATTTCTCTGAAAATTTTAGGATCTTCTACTTATCCTTGGAATTCTGAAATTTCAAGATGAATGTGTGTGTTAAGAAATTACCAAAGACAGGGAAAGGGTCATTCAAAAGGAGCAAAGTAAACAATCCACAGTCCCAGTTCATGAGAATACTTCCTGTTCCTGCCACACAGACCAGAACCATACATATAAATTACTAGTCACGCAAGCAGCAGGAAATTTATGAGCCATAATGAAGAGAAAAATCAATCAAGAGAAATAGTGCCAGAAATAGCACAGATGATAGAATTGGTAGATAAGGCCATTAAAATTGTCATTATAATTGTATTGTATATGTTCAAGAAGCTAGAGGAAAGATTGAGCATGTTAAGAACATGAAAGATGCAGAAAAACACACATCCCTAAATCAAACTGCTAGGAATAAAAACTACAATGTCTGAAATGGAAAATGAAAGAAATGGGATTAAGAGAATATTACATATTGAAGAAAGGAAACAGAGAAAAGCTTGATAAGACAAAATGAACAGAGCACCAGTGAGTCATGAGACAATGTCAGGCAGTGGACTATACCTGTAAGTGGAGTCATCAAAGGAGAAGAGCTGGAGGATGGGGGGAGAAAAAAATATTTGAAGAAATAAGGGTGAAGTCTGCATTTGTCTGGCTCCACATGGTATTCTCAGTGCCTAGGAAGGCACCTGGCAGACATCAGACATTTAACAAACATTTCGTGAACACCTTTGTATCAGAACAAATGACAACAATGAATAAGAGATGAGCACATGAGCGCCACAGCAGGTATAAGGGCCATCAGGGACCACAGGGGAAGAGGATGGAGAAACAGAAGCTTAGGGGAAGTGGCCTGTCTTCGGCAGGGACCCAGAGGCTGGGTTCAGTTTGAGGATGTGTACGGTTTGGAGAAGTGGAGGAGATGAAGGGCATTCCACATAAGAACAACATAAATGAAGACTTGGAAGCAAGAATAAACATGGTTTCGAATATACCACCTCGACTGGAGCGGTGACTACATTCGAGGGATAATGAGAAATGAGGTTAGCTAGATGACCTAGGGTCACAGTACGCAAGGCTTTAGGAAAAGGAAGCAAGTTTAGAAACAAGGGAGAAGCCAGTGGAAGTTTCTGAACAGAAACCTTTGACAATGAAATTGGTGCTCAAGCGGGGAAAAGAGTCTAGTGGTGACATTCATGATGGATTAGAAGAAAGTACTACAGTTAGGTGGGCCAGGAGCAACCAGGAGGCTGTTTAAACAATCTTGTCACTGGCCGGCCAGCGGCCGAGTGGTTAAGTTTGCAGGCTCCATTGCCGCCACCCAGGGATTCACCCGTTTGGATCCTGGGCGCGGACATGGCACTGCTCATCAAGCCATGTTGAGGCGGCGTCCCACATGCCACAACTAGGAGGACCCACGACTGAAATATGCAACTGTGTACTGGGGGGATTTGGGGAGAAAAAGCAATAAAAAAAAAAAAAAGAAGATTGGCAACAGTTGTTAGCTTAGGTGCCAGTCTTTAAAAAATAAAAGACAATCTTGTCTTGAACACCTGTATATGAAAGCACCTAAACACATTATCAGCACAGACTAGGGCCTGAGCAAATGTCAGCAGAATCTAAATACTGAGCAAATGAATATTTCATTTAAATTAAGGACTAAAATTTTTCTCGATTCATGAAGTTTTCAAAAGTGACCCTAAGAATCTATAACCCATTAAGAATATTATTTGCTTCATAATATTTCATTCGTCTAAGATTTTGGATCAGATTTTTTAAACTGTTACTTTGTGGTGCACCAAAAGGCCTCATTCTCTGCCTCAGCCAGGTGTGCTTCAAGCTTTTCGTACTTTCCATTCTTATTCTCAAACAGATTTGGATGGAAGGTTCATGCCCCAATTTTCAACATTAAAGCAATGCTGCCACAAAAGGAGAAATCACAATATCTCAATTACACACCTGCTTGTCACAGAATCCCAGAGTTGAGGAATGGAAAGGACCTCGGAGATGGGGCCCTTCATCGCACAGATGGGGAAACTGAAGCCGAAAGAGGGTAAGCGCGGAGTCCGGGCTCATGGAGCCGTTAATGGTCAAGCTGGGACAGGAATCCAGACTCTCCCACGTGGAGCCAAGGGTTCCAACCGAGTGGGATGAGGGTTGAACCCCGAGGCAGGGAGCAAAGGTCAGGAAGGGAGCTCTGTTCAACCTCAGCAGGCCGGGGACGTCGACGGCGCAGGACCGCGGCACCAGCAGCACGAGGCCGACCTGCAGCGCCCGGCCCCCGGGCCCCTCCAGCCCGCGAGGCCCGGCTCTCTTTCTCGCGATACCGGCCGGCCCCACCCCTCCGCCGCGCCCCTCTGTCGTCATTTCCTGTGGGTCTGCGGGCAAAGGGAGAAGATGGCGGCGCTGGGGGAGCCTGTGCGGCTGGAGCGGGGTGAGTGCGGCCGCGGTCCTGGCCGAGGCGGGCGGAGAGGTGGAGGAGGGCCGCGTCGCCGGGGGAACAGGGGCGGCCCAGGCTCCGAGTCCCGAGCCAGTCTGCCCTTCGGGCTGGCGCCGGGGGCCGCCGACGTCGCTGCGCCCGGACCCCGGGGGGCGTCTGCGGCGTCCTGATGGATGCCCGGTTCGCGCGGACCGCCGCGGGCACAGCTCAGGTCGCCACCTGTCAGCGTCCGCACACGCCGCAGGCGGGCCCTCGGGCTGGGGGCCGTGTCGCCCAGAAGCCCGGCGGGACTGCACGCCCGCCGGCCCCGCCTGGGCGCACGGCCCGGTCAGCACCCTCCCGTGCGCGCGCGGGTGGGTCCCTGCCTTCGCCGCACCTCCCTTCGGTTTGTGTCGGGTTGTTTCCTGGCCTGGGTGCCCCTCCCAGGTACGCAGAAGGTGCTGTAAAACAGCCCTGCTGATTTGGTCTTGGGAGGAAGGTTACGTAACTAGCTGGAGTAGTGGTCGATCGTAAAATGCTGCAAAGTGCAGTCTTACTTCTTTACAAACCCAACAACTGCTCACTGGGTCTGGTTGCTTGCTTTTTAGAACAAACTGAGAAAACTTGTTCTGCTGAGTAATGAGAGACCTAAAAGCCAGCGGAAATACATGGCTGTGCCCCCATCAGGGCCCTGTTACAGACTTTCCACATTCCGCCCTTTCTTCCGCAAATCCTTTATTTGAAACTATTTCAAGCATGCTTTTAGCATACCGGTGTCAGAAGTCATTGGGAAGAGTCAAGAAGTGCAAACTAAATATTTTGAGTACGGTAGTAAACAAAGTGTATGATGGAGATTGAAAATATCTTGCAAGTATCAACATTTGCAGTTACACTCTGAATATTAAGTAGCTTCTGCTCTAGGAAGGGAATACCTTTTTAGAATTGTTGTGTTTAGAGAAGCCTCTTTCCTCATGCCTTCACACAAGCAGATGTGCACTTGCCATTGTTTATTCCTTATGGTGTTCACTGTTGGTAAGCCTTTTTGTAAACGACATCGTCTCCCTGCAGCCCACGAGATCATTAATTAAAGCATCACTTTTGACGGAGGAGTAGCTACTTTGGGAAGACTTACTAAGTTAGGCCTGAGACTGTGACATCTTCCTCCTGAGCACAATGGCACTGTGCTCTGTAGATGGGAACAAATCTGTTTGGTGTTAACAGGAGGAGGTGTTTTTCTTTGAAAGCCAGTTGTAGGACTTTAACACGTTGGCAGTCTTTTGTGTTTCTAAGTGCAGCACAAAATGTGGAACTCCACCTCTGGCATTTAGTTTTGGTAGTGCTGGCTTTGTATTTTGCTATTTCCTAGTTCTCTTCAGTTCTGCAATAGAATGCTCAGCATCTTAATGGGATGAATTTCTAGTGGTTGCCGTTTAGCAGGATAAGAAAGTTAGGTTACATCAACTCTGTTAAACAAACTCTGTTGACAAACACTCCCGGCAGTCCTACAGTTTGAAATTAGTGCATATGATCAAGCTCCTGAACGTCTTCTAAACTGTCATACAATTCAGTGGAACACATTTGAGCACAAGTTAAGGTGTAGCTTAGGTTCAGTAAAGAGTGTTTGACTTTTCTCAAGTTTTTTGTTAGTTGGAAATTTTTGTATCGCTTACATTTTGTAACTTTGTAAATCAGAATGATTGATGAACCAACAATCCTCATCCACCAGCCGTTCTGGTGGTGGGATATTGGAATGGAGAAAGTCTGTTTCCATTGCATTTGATTAACATCAGTTTAAGATTTTATCACATGGAATTGACAAACCTACTTTCTTCAATACATTTATTCCTGGTTTTTCAGCTGCAAACACAAAGAAGGCGTATTAATTCTATAAGGAAAAACTTCTGGTCCTTTGGTGTAATAGAACTTCTTCCACTTAAAAGGGGGCAAGGAGTAGTAGAATAATAGACACTCTAGCCTCCTGGGGCACAAAACAGTTAAGAGAAAAAGCAAAGTAGAGAGAGTCGTCAACATTGTTGTAACGTGACTCTGAATCGTATAAAATGTCTTAGTTCATAAAACGCTTATCCTCACACTTGCAGTGAGAATTGCCTAACATGCTTAATATAGCTATATAAATGTGTGCAGTCCTGTAACATTTCTTGTATGAATTGGTGCCAGTGTAACATAACATTTCTGCTTGCTACATGCCAGACCCTTTTCTGAGTAGTTTTTGCTTTAATGGTCAAGTAATTCTTATAAGGAAGGTACTGTTATTTCCATTTTACAGTGGAGAATCCGAGACACAGGGAGGTTCAGTAACCTGCCCAAGATCACACAGCTAGTATTGAGACTAGATTGACAAAACTAATTGTTTTTATTTTCTTATTTTGTAAACATATATGTATTTGATTGAGTTTGTCTTAATTAAAACACTGTGTTATTGATCCTAAGTTGAAAACAGAGCAGTTAATTTTATTCATTTGTACCACTGTTTTCAATGTGTCCCTGCCACTAACTGCACTGTTAATGAAAAGTTCTTGTCTACATGTATACCGTGTGTGCCTTTGGGAAATGAGCAGTGGCTTCTCTGGCACACAGTGTTTTGTACTGTTCGCTGCTTTGATTACTAATAATGATGGTTAGGTAAATTTTTATTGACTGAATAGTTCTGATAATACTGTCAGCTTTTCTGAAGCAGTAGTGTTCGTATGTCTGTCACCTTTGAGCCCTAGTCCTTTCCTGTGACATTTCACATTTGATACTTAATTTTCCTGTGTCTCTCAAAGATGCTATTTTCCGAATTTTGTGTGCAACATCAGTGTTTCTTCTTCATCTACTGTAAAATTTAGCATTCTCCTCAGATTTTACATTCCCGCCCTGCTACATGTACACACACACGCTCCCCCTGACACACAGACACACAAGAGCACACCGTTATGCTTTTCTGCTTCCATGTTCTACGTGTTTCTTGTTAGTCCTTGAGAAAGAATCCCAGCTGTTACACCATTCCTTGGTCGTTTAGAGAATTTTCGGAGAAAATTGTCAATCAGTGTGTATTTGTTTAACTCTAGATATTTGTAGAGCAATTGAATTGTTGGAGAAACTGCAGAGGAGTGGAGAGGTGCCGCCGCAGAAACTTCAGGCTTTACAGAGAGTCCTTCAAAGTGAATTCTGCAATGCTGTAAGAGAGGTGAGTAAGGAATGAGTTAACTAGGGGAGATAATACTCTGAAATTTGGGTTCAGAATTTCTTAGGAAAACAAACTTTAGAAAAATATTAGAAGTGCTCCTCTCACTTTTGGAGTTTCTAATAGAAAAACATTTTATGATGATGCATAAGTTTGCCTAAAACATTAACACATTCATTAGCTTCACAGAGAACTCAAACATGGTATATTCTGGAATTTAAAATCATGGTGCTACCTGGGTTTTTCAGGTGTATGAACATGTCTATGAGACTGTGGACATCAGCAGCAGTCCTGAAGTGAGAGCTAATGCGACTGCAAAGGTAAAGTTTTTCATTTGCCAAACGTGAGACAGTGCTTCATAAATTAGAGGTTTAAAATATGAAGTTGTTACATTCATAATAGGCTTTTAAAAGTTAACATGTAGTATCTTTCAAGCTATGCTAAACTTGCCAAGTACCAGGAAACAGGACATCTTTTTATTGCCTTTACAAAAGATGTTTTATCATGCAGTTTAGATAATGCGTTAAAAATACACTTGCACACAAATAATACACATGTCATGTAATACCTAGTTGTTATATACAATATACAGATTATACCATTAATTATGTAAGTTTTCACCAAAATTGCAAGGTCTGAATTATTATCCTCATTTTATTAGTGAGGAAACATCAGATGAGGTTACTTGCCTCAAACCACACGACAGTGCAAGGTAGAACTGAGTACTCCCCCGTGTTGCTCTTTCTTTCTCCTTTATCTTAGCTCTGCAGATACCGGTAATGTTAGTAGTAGGGTACCTCTTCAGAGCTGCAGGTGGCAGGTTGATGTGCTTTTCTGTATCACTGTTTTCCTCAATTCCAGGGTTGACCTCAGTGTCCATCATACGTGGTTAGAGTGAGTTAATATCGGCAGTAGCTGACTTATACTAGAATAAGTCGTTAGCAGGTAATTTTTCATTGATAGTTATTGATTCACAAAAGGAAATAGTGGATTCTCTGTTGAATACAAACACTTAAACTTGTGGGTGTAGTTTGGCAGAGTAGGAAAAACCGTAGAAACTTGGTTTTAATTCCTGAGTTTTATGACCCTCACAGCTTTTTGCATTTCTGAGCCTTAGTTTCATTATCTGTCAAGTGAGGCCTCTTTCAGAGCTTGGAACATGGTAGTATTCAACAAATCTTTATTTCTTTCCTCTCACCCTGCCCATTTTTGCTCATAGACCCTGATCCAATCATGAGATATGGTACCAGCTTACTTAGTTACCTTTAAAGGCAAATGAAATTGGGGCCAGCCCGGTGGCTTAGCGGGTAAGTTTGCACGAACCCCGGCTGCCCTGAGTTCACAGGTTCAGATCCTGGGCATAGACCTAGCACTGCTCATCAAGCCATGCTGTGGCAGCATCCCGCATAAAATAGAGGAGGATTGGCACAGATGTCAGCTCAGCAGCAGTCTTCCTCAAGCAAAAAGAGGAAGATTAGCAACAGATGTTAGTTCAGGGACAATCTTTTGTGCACAAAAAAAAGCAAATGAAACAAAAAATGTCAACTTTGTGTTAGCATTAATCTAGATTAGTGTGAATTTGCAAGTTTTAAAGATGTGGCTGTGAGGGGCCAGCCCCGTGGCCGAGTGGTTAAGTTTGCACGCTCCACTTCAGCAGCCCAGGGTTTCGCAGGTTTGGATCCTGGGCTCGGACATGGCCATGTTGAGGAGGCATCCCACATGCCACAACTAGAAGGACCCACAACTACGATATACAACTATGTACCAGGGGGATTGGGAGAAATAAAGCAGAAAAAAATAAAAATAAAAATAAAGATGTGGCTCTGTTTCATCTTCTGTGGGGTAATAGTAGTAACTTAAGCAAACAGAAAGCATTCACGTTGGCTATAAGTATCCCTCTTTTTCTCGATACTGAGTTATTTCCTGATGAATTACTCAGTATACAGTACAGATGGTGCAGGATATAAGGACACTACCTCCTTGTGGGTTGTTATGCTGGCAGGTTGTGTCCTGCCCAAAGACCCCTGGAGGAGCCAGGCTGTCCAGCCCCGAAGCTCAGGGCTGCTGCACGCTGGGGGAGGGCTCTCCTCTTGAACGTGCGCCGGTGCCCATCTGCCTGCAAGCCTGCTCGCCAGGTGCTGCACAGGAGTGCTGGGCTGAGTGGGCCACGAGGGACTTGGGCAGTCCTAATGCTTCCTGCACAATCCGAGGGTGTGCTTTCCAGGCTTCCTCTCTAAACCCGTCCACTCAGCTGGCCTTCTCCTCAGAACTGCCAGGGCATTTGTGGGCATTCAGACATCAAAAGTATGTACCTCAAAAGTAGTTTTAAAAAAGAGCCAAACTGAAGTAAACAAAAGTCATATTTTTAAATATGTGAAATTTTCATTCAGGCTACTGTCGCTGCATTCGCTGCCAGCGAAGGACATTCTCATCCTCGTGTTGTCGAGCTACCAAAAACTGAAGAGGGCCTTGGATTCAATATTATGGGAGGCAAAGAACAAAACTCTCCAATCTATATATCTCGAATAATTCCGGGTGGAATTGCTGACAGGCATGGGGGCCTCAAGCGAGGAGATCAACTCCTTTCTGTCAATGGAGTGGTGAGGAGGAATTTCATTTCTGTTTGTAGTGATGTGTTGTGACCACGTGGGGGTGTATTTGAGTTAACGAAACAGACATTCTAGGGAAAAAATCCAAGAAGCTTTGTCGTTTGGAAATCCCTTCGGAGGGGCCAGCTTGGGGGTACAGTGGTTAAGTTCAGCGTGCTCTGCTTGCGCTGCCCAGGGTTTGCAGGTTCAGATCCCGGGCACGGACCTGCACAATGCTCATCCAGCCACGCTGTGGCAGTGCCCCCTGTAGAAAATAGAGGAAGATGAGCATAAGATGTTAGCTCAAGGCTAATCTTCCTCAAGCAGAAAAAGGGGAAGATTGGCCACAGATGTTAGCTCAGGGCCAATCTTCCTCACCGAAAAAAAGAAATTCCTTGGAGGCATCCTGGGCAGTACTATTTAGTACAGTGGTGCTTTTTAAAACACTTAGTGTTTTGCTTCTCTCCAATGTGAATTAGCAGTGCTTAGTGTGATTTCTATGAAATAAAGTTCTTTAGTAGTTAAGACACTATGTTAAATTACAGATCTACCTTCATTTTAGTCTTAGGGAGTGGAAATTGCTTGATTTACTTCTGATTTAGTGAAATAATAGGACTTGTATATTGATGTGCTAATTATTTGGAACTTAAAAACCAGTTCCTAGACTACAAACAGAATGTGATTTAGCAGAAATTGATTAAACATTGATTCACATTGATTAAAATGATAAAGCAGGATTATTTCATATGTTTATAGTGTTGAAATGATACAACATTAAAACTTTTTTACTTACGTGTATTTTAAACAGTTTTGCATGTTGAGTGACTTGCAAAACCTAGCCATTAATCGTGTGTGTTTCTTTTTCTAGAGCGTTGAAGGGGAGCATCACGAGAAGGCTGTGGAGCTGCTGAAGGCAGCTCAGGGGAAGGTGAAGCTCGTGGTGCGGTACACCCCCAAGGTCTTAGAAGAGATGGAGTCCCGCTTTGAGAAGATGAGATCCGCCAGACGCAGGCAGCAGACCTAGTGCGCTTCAGGACCTCACACCCCCTTCTGCCTGTAGATAGAGAAGTGTTCCCTGTGCCCCGCAGGTGGCCGCAACGCCAGTGATTGTGAACAACAAACAGAAACTTCCCGTGAAATCCCCCTTGCCATTTTGTAAATGCCTATTTTAACATCGTTTGTGGTTCCAGAGATGCACACACTTTTTTCTGACACAAAAAAGTAAACGGCGATGAGGGCAATTCTGTCCCGCTGTTTTTACAGGCCTTTTTCAAATGCAGATTTTGTCATAAAGTTGTTATAGATTTTTAAAAATGCTTTTTTAATATTCAAATGTACTTTTACATTCTTAATCTTTTTTTAGGGAAAAAATGTTTTCTTCATTTGGCTGCTTATTTTAAAATAACAGTTCTCCAATTCTTTTTTTGCTTACTCTGTTTTTTTTAACCTGTAAAATTCCTTTACGGTTTTCCAGGGAATTGAACATAACAGTCTCAGCTGTGGCAGCCCATGCCACTGTCAGTGTTAACATCACTGCTGCGTTTTGTCCTTTGAAGACACACACACAATATATAGAATCAATGGTAAATCATAACTCAGCACAGTGGAACTTTTTTACATTTATTTAAACATAATATGTAACGAATATTCATTTATACTGATTTATAAAAGTTTTTAAACACTGAAACAATCATTGCGAAAATATGTATTCTTTCACAATATTTGAGCAGTGAGGCAAGAGGATGTAATTTGATAGTTAGCATTACTGATTACATCTTTATTTGTATTCAATAATATATCAAATTACAAATGCAAAAACAGGTTTAGGTTTCATCTTTTGCGAATTTTTTAATGCTACTCATTTTTATTTAAATATATTTCTTATATTTTGGTCCTTCCATTCCTAGAGATGAGCCAGTTAGTGTGTGATGGGAAATAGAAGCAAAGAAGAAAGAGTAATACCTTTAACCTCACTAGCCTCCAGAGTTACGCACACTGACTAGCTCGATTTAAAGAATTGATTTTAAATAGGAAGAAGATAGAAGGATATATTAAGATAGAAATTATGAAGCGATGTATTCATAAGAATCTGGCTGTTTGTCAAAATGAGTAGAAACTCATTCATATTAACATGGTTGGATCTAGAGAACCAGTGTTTATGATTCATATATAATGGTGGGGATTCAGAGAGACTTTGATTTGTCCACTGGATGTCACTGTTTTCCTAAAAGGCAGCTATTAGCGTATGACTGGGACTGAGGTCTTTTTAAAGGCTGAAGTTAAAGAGTTGAGGTTCATTTTCAGTCACAACTTACAGGAACATTTGTATGTTTTCTTAAAAATGTAAGTGATAGCTCCTAAAAGAAGAAAATGGATTGAAGTATATAAGGAATCTAGCATAATTATCGACCCTGTGTAAAAACTGGGCATTTTGTAACATTCCTTCAGGAAGAATAGAAATGTATACCTTTTTCTGCATGTTTGTGAGCACTGTGAGTCTTAAAAGATTATTCCAGTTTTCAGTGATATTCAGAATAAAAGTCAATCAGCATTGTTATTTATCATTTAGGTATTGAACACTGGATTGCATGGTTGAATGTGTCTTTAGTCACTACAAAATGTGCTTGTATTGATAGGATCAAGTTGTTAAATTGTATATTTTCAGAATTAATTAATGTTTTTAAAATGTTGAGACCAAAGTAGTGTAGAATTATGGATTTACTTTAATTTAACTGTAAAGTTATTAGAGGTATTTGTTGTAGAGCTTTATATATTGAAGGGGTATTGGTGCATATGAAAACAGTGATATTATTCTCATGCTTGTATTCTTGCATTCCAGGGTGAGTAGACCCTGAAGAGAGCTTACTTCAGTACAGCTACAGCGGCAGCAGCTTTTAAGGGCGTGTCAACATTTCATTATAAATTATAGCTTCCTGCTTTAGTATCTCAGCTTTTCAGAACTTTCAGCCAAGTTAAATCTTTTTTGGTGTTGAAACTTGGTTAGTCGAGTAAGCTTTTTTTTCCCTTCTACAGTAATCCACAATCTGTTCTTTATGTGGGTTGGCACTTATTTATAATTCTTAAAATAAGAATAGCTTAAAGGCGCCAAGTACAGTAGTTCTGCTTGCTACTGTGGAGCATGCGTAGCAGGAGTTTGTTTTTGTTAATGCAGTTTTCACAGCGTATCCCGGAATTTTAAATCCTGACCATAGAAAACTTCAGTCATCAGTGGCAAAGATGCACAGCAGTGATCTGATACAGTGAGGAAATTAAGGGAATTTTCATCTTCTAAATAAATGTATGATCCTAGCATGACTAGGCACATAGTGAGTATATAATAGGTTTTTGATTTGTAAATTACAACTTACCCTCTCTCCTCAATTTCCATTTGTTTTCTTGGCATTTTGTAATATGTTGATGGGGTGATTCTCCTTAGCTGCATGTTAGATAGAACACACCCGCGGAGCTCTGAAAACTGTTGACACCTGAGTCCCATCCCATACCAACTAAATCAGAATCTCTGAGGCTGGGGCCAGATGCTAATGTTTTTGGAGCTTTCCAGGTGGTTCTAAAGGACACCTAGGGTCGAGAACCACTAGGTTCCTCTTTACAAAATGCCCTACTGGACTCTGGACTCTGGAGTATCAGAATAAAATAGTTCAATTTACAGCTACTCTGAAGTAGCTGCAAATATAATGATGGGTTATATTTCTTGATGGTTTCTTGTGGAACAAAAGGTACTTGGCATTCCTTATTGGGGAAGTGATTACAGTCTCTTTTTTCTTTTTTAATAAAATCTGCTAGTAGTTTAAACTTTCAATGTCTGTCCTCTTTCTGCCCCCTTTGCCTTTAAAACTACAAAAATAGATGTTTATTATTTGAGAAAGCATGTTTGAAAATTGCAGATGAGAAATATTGTCATCGATAGTTGCGTGCCGTCCCAGTGTGGCCGCTTTACCCATCAGAGCACTGCTAGACCTAGTGGCCAGTTCTTTGGGGTTTGCGAATCCAGATGTGTTTTAAACAGTCGTTGTCTTCCTCTTCTAAAGTTTTGAAGTTTTTTTGCTCAAGTACTTAAGTAGTTTGGCTCAAGTACATTGTTTACAATTTAAATGGATATTATAGCATTTAATAGAAGAAATGGCTGTGGCTTATCCGAAAAGAATGTCAGCATGACTTGGTCTAGACAAAAAAGAATACATGTTGTGAATATTTTATAATGTGGAATGATCATTGAAATGTCAAGGACTCTGGGAATTGTATTTCCTAAATAAATGTATGTTTATGAATTTTCTAACTTATATTTTGTCGTCTCCTCTACTGATAATCTGGTTTTATACTTTTTATTGTCCAAAATCTCACTACGAGTGGTTCTTCAAAGGCTGTTGGGGTTCTGTAATGGTTAAATAGTCGACAAAACGGAATCGCTTGCTCATTAATTTTCAAGAACTTTCAAACTAATTTGTATCTGGACATAGCTTTTAAAAATATTAACAAACAGTGTGCTTCTACTTTAATTCTTTAGTTTGAGGTAGAGAAATACAGTACCCAAGATGGATTCAACACTTTTTCAATAGCCAACTTACCAATTTAATTCTGATTCTAAGGCTTATTTGAAATAAATTTGTATTAGTTTTGTTCGTGTTCTTTGGGATTTGGAAAAAACTGATAGAACCACACAGCAGATGTGTTTCTGAAAGCTTTTAAATGAATAAAATAACTTTTAAATGAGATAAAATCATAATCCATGGTAGTTACTGGAATGAAACTTCGAATTCCTATATTTTGCATTGTCTTTCCTAAAATATCACTACAGAAAAAATTCTGTTGTGTTATTTTGAGAGAGGCAGGATGGCATGTGATTGAGAGCAGAGTGTGGAGCCTCACTACCCTGGTTTGAACCCTGGGTCCACCATCACTGCAACCTTACACAAGTTTCTTAACTTCTCTGTGCCTTAGTTCCCTCATCCATCATGTGTGACAAAAATGCCTGTAAGCCCTGTGAAGCCCTTAGCTGCCTGGCATAGTTAATGCTATTTGTGTTTGCTGTTATTTTCATGTAAAAAAGCTTCAGGGCCGCCTTAGTGAAAGAAAGATGTGGCTGAATAATAAAATTAGCGGGTTCTTATTTTTGATGCCTAAAAAGATAACCTTTAAATTACGCTTGAAAACTTTATAAGGAATAAGATTCATAAGGAATTTCAGATTTCTGTCCACCCGGATCAAAGAACCTCATGGAATTCTAAAATGAGCGGGGGGTGGGTGCTGGAGGGTTGGGGCTGCGTTCTCAAGGAAAGTCATCAAAGTCCGAGTCAGGGAGTGGTCCAGTCAGACAGGCGGTCTGCAGGAAGGCTGTGACCCAGCCCTGGAGACGACGGATTGCTAGAAGGCGTGTCACCATACAAGGCGTAATTCACCACCATGGATGTTTATGAAGCATGAAAATGTACCAAGCAACAAGGCGTACAACAGAAAGCATTTCCTGTCGGCCCTCGGTTTCTCCAAAACTTCGGTAAACCAGAACACCCATTCTCTAAGTCTTTCAGTTCTGGTTTTGTGATATTCGCTGTTGTTAATTATTCTGGTTTTAATCTAATGAAGTGGTTGTATGTTTTCCGTACATTTATTTATTTGGTGGCAGATAACTTTCACCTGATGAAATCTTTTAAGATTATATACAGAGCAAAAGGTAAATTCATACAGAACGCATTTGTAAATTTTATTCCTTTGATTTTAAACTTCTCAAGAAAAGGACAAGCACTTTGTGTCAAGAACAGGTGTGTGAGAGCTCTCCTGGTTCTCGTCAACGACAGAACTGTGCTTCAGACCCAGTCAGGATTGGGTCCTTACAAGAATTTTCTTTAGGAGAGGAAGTGTGGAAGAAAAACGATTTGTTACAGTCTCTCCAGAATTGCTCTAACCAATTGGATAAAAAGAAGAGAATTTAGCCATTGGCTGCAGATAAGTTCCCTTTATGTGGCAGTTACTGAAAGTAATTCATTTCATCACCGAGTAACAAAAACCCAAATGTTTAATTTTTTTTGTTTATTTGGTAGAAAAATGCAATCTGAAAGCATGAAATAGGGGAAATTTTTATTTCTGGTATCTGTTATTTGACATACTTTTGAGCCCAGAGTGTAGACAACTCTCTAACTTTTGACATTCCGTTCTGAGGGGTTAAGGGTTGAATTGTGTGCCCCCCCAAAAAGATACGTTGGGGTCTAAAGCCTCAGTACCTGAGAATGTGACTTTATTTAGAGAGAGTCTTTACAGAGGTGATAGGTTAAGTGAGGCCATTACAGTGGGCCCTAATTCAACATGGCTGGTGTCCTTTTAATAAAGGGGAATTTGGACACAGACATGCACACAAGGAGAACACCGTGGGAGATGAAAGCAGAGATGAGGTTGGTGCTTCTACAGGCCAAGAAACATGAAAAACTGCCAGCAAAATCCAAGAAACAGAGAGAGAGGCACAAACAGATTCTGCCTGACAGCCTCAGAAGGAACCAACCCTGCAGTTTCCTTGATCTTGGCGTCTACCCTCCAGAACCCGGAGACAAGGAAGCTTCCTCATCGAAGGCACCCGGTTCGCCGTCCTTCGTTACGCATGAGAGAATCCTTGTTTCGGTGGCATCACCACCAAGAACGGGTACTGAAGCAAAATTAAATGTGGCTTCTCCCAGTAGACCAGGAATCTACCAACTCCACAGACAGATCAGAAACTCACATTGGAGCCAAATAAAAACAATAGCAATGATGTATGCGTAATTTAGGCACAGAATTAGTCAGCTGATCTAGATGTTCAAATGTCCAAGAAAGGACCAAGATACTAAAGGGATGACTCCTTCATCAATGTTGTCACCTCACTGAGTCCCATTTGTGGAGAACGACCATGAAGGTTACTTTCATCTTTTGGTCTATGTAAAAATAATATTAATAGGAGCTAAAATTTTTTAAGTAACTAATATCTGATTTAAAAATAAAAGTTTTCCTGGGTATTACAACAACCAGAACTACATGAAGAATTGTGCACTGCTGACCAAGATCTACTTTTTAAAATGCCTATTGTGTAATTTTAAATAAGACATAGCAACAGTAATGACATAGTATAGTGGAAAGAACACTGGACTTAAGCTACAATTCTGCCACTTAACATATGATCCTTGAGTCCTAATTTCCTTGATTGTATAATAAGGAGAGAGGTGATTTCCAATCTTTTTTTTTTTTTTTTAATTCATTAAGGAGCTCCTCTCTTCAGCCAAAGCTTAATATGTGGTGACTAGAACTCTGGTTCAAGGAGTCGGGGGTGCCCTGAGGCTGCCCCCTGGACACCCCTCCCCCTGCCCCAGAGCCTGGGGCTTCCTCTGAGCACTATTTGACAACCTCTGTCCCAGGTGATCTATAAGGCCATTCCTGTTCTAAAAGTTCAATGATACCAAAATGCAGTTGGTTTGATGCGAATGATTTTTATCATGTGACATATAAACCATGCACGCAGAAGCATTTGCTATAATATATATCAGAAATATTGATGATATTAGCCATAAAAAAAGACGAAATTGGCCCATTCACAACAACGTGGATGGACCTCGAGGGCATTATGTTAAGCGAAATAAGTCAGTCAGAGAAAGACGATCTCTATATGACTCCACTCATAGGTGGAAATTAGTATATTGAGAAGGAGATCCGATCGGTGGTTACCAGGGAAAAGGGGGGGTGGGGGGAGGGTACGAAGGGGGAAGTGGTGTACCCACAACATGACTAACAAAAATGTACAACTGAAATCTCACAAGCTTGTAATCTATCATAACATTAATAAAAAAAATATATAAAAAAAAAAGAAATATTGATGATATTAATAGCTGCTTGGATTAAGCATCTACTAGGCACTGAACCTAATTCTGAAAACCACTCAGCAGGAAGGGTGCTGTCCCACTGTCACAGAATCAGAGACCAAATGGTTTGTCCAGAATCAGACTGTTAGTGATCAACACAGCCAAGATTCAATCTCAAATTTGTTTTCAAAACCCATATTTTTTTCCCAATGTCATGGTGAACTTTTAACTAGTTTTTTTCCTCTTGTTCATTTCATTTTTTTAGGTTTCTTGGCACTTTTTGTTTAGATGTGGGGTTTTTTTTTTGAGCTAGAGGCCTGTGTCACCCAAATAAAGAACAAATTTAACCAGTGAATTATGTCAACATTCACTCGGGCATTTTCAGGTTGGCATCTTTTCCCCAGTACATAGGTATTATTATTCCATTATGTTGCATTAGTGCATTGAATATATCACTTTCCACCTATTGGATTCCTTTGTATCACAAAATTAGGAATAACAAGTAGATTATAGCCATTTAAAAACTCTAAGCTACAAATGCTATAGAAATGGCAGCAATTTAAGTGAATTATAGCCATAGCAAAAAACACTTGAAAAATAACAAAATAGGATTTTAATGACTGCTTTAGAATGGGAAATGGAACTGACAGAAGAAACGGCCATGAGAAAGTTGGAAGAAGCAAGTCATCCACTGTGTCTCTATTCGTTTCAATGAAATGAACTTGATCTTGAGTCTCGTATTAGTGGATAGAAATCATAAAATTCATTAGCTCACTTATGCATTCCCTCAGCATCTATTTACTGCACAGCTGTGATGTACTGGGCCCTGTACTCAGGATACAGCAGTAGACAAGGCAACCCCTCTGATAAGGAGCTGCGTTCTTGCCAGAGAGCCTGAGGAGAAGGAAACAACAGGCTCTCAGTAGGCGGGAGTGTTAGGAAGTCCCACGGGGAGAGCCTAGAGAGGCCTAGGAAAGGAAGACAGGGACTTTCAGCGCCTCTTTGCAGTTCAGAGTGAGGATCCCACAGTCCCTTCTCGTCTGCACATCTGAGGTGGGCACATCCAGAGGGGCCACCATGTCTGAGCTGCTGACTTGGTGGGTTCCATCGGAACCTCCATGCAGCACCAACTCCACTTCCCATAATGCTTGTAATTACTAAGTACGAGCACTATTATAAAGCACCTTCTGTGTGCTGATGATCCGTTCCTATCAGTTATCCTTAACGTGTCCCTTGGCTCCCCGACTCCAGTTAGAATAAAAATCTAAGCGCCTCCCCATGACCCACCATGCCGGGCTGGTCCAGTCTCTGCCTCCCTCTCCAGCCTCACTCACGCTGCCTCCCCGCCGCCTCCAGCCTTCACGGGGCTCCAGCACGGCAGCCTCTACCCTTACCCTCACTGTGCCCTCTGCCCGAACTCTCCCGCCCCCTCTGCTGATGTCCGCCCACCCCTCCTCCCATCGTGA